GCTAATTATAGTGCCATTTTTTTCCGAGATTGTCTCACTGCCTTCAATAGATCTTACAAGTAAAGTTCAGCAAGTGCTTCACTCGACCGTTTATCTTTTGAAGACCTTTATGTGTCACTCACTGAAGAAGCTATATTTTATCAGAAACGAAAGTTAATCAAACAGAACTATCCAATGAAAACAGTCTCATTTATTTCAAAGAATATAAGTTGTGACGATAAAAGTTTCAGGAGTAGAACAGTGGACAAGAATACTGGTATTGTAAGCAGTTACTAGAATTTGTTTTTGCATACTTGAATAAGGTTAACTAAATTTACAGAAATCTCATACACGGATCGTATTCCTCCCCTCTGAACTGATAATGATTGCTAAATCTTCTAAGCTTGCTTACGCCGCACTCCTAACGGTACATATAAATGCTCGTGATTTGACGTTATCTCAGCGATTCGCAGCAATTAGGCGAGTAGCAACTCGACATATACATGAATCGATAAGTTCTGCTCTCATGTTAAATTAAGTCCTAGCTGCAGAACTGCTTCCTTTCGAAACAGAGAAAAATCCAGATTCAGAGACAAGAACCTAAAACCAAAGAATGTGAGTGAACAGGTCCAGGTGGTCTACAAAAAGATTTCACTGCTCAGTTTCAAACGTATGACTGATATCAGAGCAGAAATTTTCCAGAAACGGGCTCTCCAAACCTCTCAGTAAAGCATACGGCGCCGCTGACCTCTGAAAAATATTCTGTTGCAAAAACTATCCCGTCAGCATATGAAGGACAAGCCGTGGCGGTAGTACAAATCAACATGTGTATTACTTGTTTCTGCGGAGGTGAGTACAGTGACTTTACCATGCGTACGCTTCTCGAACGCTTCCATGAACACTACGCAGATAACTAGAGTACGAAAACACGATTGGTCAATCACGGTGGCCCATGTGAACTCAGCTCCACTAGAAAACCCTTCAGTCTTTTACAGTGTTAAATAAATGGAATGAAATTAAAATACCTGTGCATAGCCTAAGTACCAACCATTTAAAAATCCAAGTCAACGCCATGTACCCAGAAGCAGTACGTTTAACCTTCGTCTCTCATGACCAGGCTGCCTTATCAAGAAAATCCTTATCTTACTGTTTATTATCCCAACTTGCTATTTATTTTCAAATTTGAATTCCAACTAGCAACACTCTGCCCCGCATTGTTATCCGCTTAACTCCGACCTTTGACCCAAAATAGTTCCCGAACTTTCTCCTTAAATATTCATGAGTGTACAGACAAAATAGTCTTCACTTAACCTCAAACCATCTTCCGTCTTTTCCATGATTTGGTGGGTATACTCCGTTACTAGACAAAATGCATAACTATAATTCTATCGGTAATTTATGTACATGAGAGAAAAAATCTCCACTTATATGTGTATGGATGAGTAACGTATGCAGTGTATGAACATAAGCTGACCCTTCCGTTCATTTCTGTCGGCAGAGAATAGCCTGTATAACCCTACACCACAGGTGCCAGTTAATAAGAAGCGTAGAAACTAGTTCGTAATTTCTTTGCGTGAAACAACATACCCAAACAAATATCCAACGAACTGTTCAGCTAAGCAAGTTAAAACAGAATATCACACAGAAATGTATAATATTAAGGAGGGTAATGTTACGCCAACTTTAATTAAGTAGCTGGACACTACGAGGTGGAGGTATGCAGTAAACTACACTCAATATGCCACCCGAGAAACATGGGGTCCTGTTTCACCTTCGTAGTCTTACTTTTTACCTTTATTAACTAGGTTTCTATAACGCAGAGTCATTTTCCAGCCGACCAATTACGATTGCTCAGGTGAAAGACAAGCTACCTATCTGTGCCACTTCTATGTGTATCTATAAATTTATTTGCTCCTGTGGAGAGAGTTATATAGGGCAAACAACTAGACAGCTTAACAAACGCATTAATGAGCATCTTCCTTCATGGTTCGGAAAACGTCAAATAAATTCCATAAGTTCTATTTTGGCTCATTTGATTGATAGTGGTCACCAAGTGGAAAAAAATAGTGCCTTCAAGGCTATCTATCGCATTCCATCGAGCCTTTCGAACGGAATTCGAACCCGCCTTTTACATAGTCGAATTTATGGAAATTCGAGAGAACAATCCTCTTCTTTGCATACAAAAGAAGTTTGTTCTACCTTTGTCTCTCCTTTGGCCTAAATGAAGTTTAATTAACACCCTCCCACCCATTCTTATTTTCCACCTCCTTCTTATTTTTATGACATTAAGATAAATTCTGATCTGTCCACTTCACCTTTAGTATTACGTAACTTTTAAGATTTGGCCTAATTTATTTATTGAGTTGTCTACATATACACATATCACTGCCTGCTATTCTTATCGCCACCTGCATAAACCTTATTATCAATATTTTATTATCAATATAATCATCGTTATTAATTTCGTTCAAAACATTCACATTATTATTATTTGATCCACAAAATCACCGTCATTGGTTAAAAATTCTTATATATAAATCCATGTAAATTAGAGTAAAGCCTGAAGATCTAATTGAAAACGATATTGTTCGCTTATATGTCTTGTTCTAGTATTAAAAATGGGAATATTTAAAGATTAAGACTAATGTGTGGTTATAACTATTCGAAATGAGACAATGGTCCAGTGAAGTCCACTAAGAACTTCGCTAGTCCCAAGTTGTTTGAGAGTGAACAGATCTGCAACACGAACACTAAACCTGCAGAAATCGGACCAACGGTCATATGACGTCATTTGACCACCACTGACGCTACTATAACTTAATTCTATTCTAAATACCATTACTCGTCAAGAGAGACGAACATTTGGCCTGAATAACCTGAGACCTAGGTATTCCGGCCAACGCAAGTCCTCATTGTCATACATCCCTTACCTGTACAGTATGCGTCTAACCTTAACACTTCTGATCACAATCAACACGAAAAAAATTACGCAAATTTCAGCAGATAGACAGCTTGTAATTGTATACTTACGACCTGTTCCTTTGCTTTTCCAGTGAAATATGAGGCCTTAAGCTTGAGCTTCGTAGTTTCCGTATCGACGTTGTCTCATCTGTGGTGAGGAATTGTTGGCATCACAATAAACCTCTCCATATTCGGCTTTCTAACATATAAGCGGGATTTAACAATAGGCCAGTAGTTTACAATAGAACAGTAATTTAGTTTGCGCCTGCTCAGAGCATATTCCAAGTGTAAGTCAAAGGCTAGTCAATGGTAAGGCCTACAAATCATTAAACAATGAGACCATGAGATTGAAAATGACACATCTGAGCGTCATAAACTGATAATACACTGTAACCTAGATGTTGCCATCTTCATCGAATAAATAGGCAAGCGCCTTGAACGTTGATGATAAAATTTGGTAGGTTCAGAAACTAGATAACTGGAGGACACATAAGAGGGAAAGAACAGCAGATATACAATATGACAAAGGTGCATTCATTTTAGCTTGGGGGAATGTGATTTATTTCTGAACAGGGATCAGTAACGATTGTTGACTGTGAATACTGTATTTCTATTCAGAATTAGATGGAGTCTCGAAATCTACCATAACCAGTATTACATCCATTACGTTTTACATTTTGGAAAGTCTATGGGAAACATGCATGTCAAAAACTACGAGATTAAATAATTTCCACTAGAATGGAAAAGCAGACAGTATTTCTCAACCAACGTAACGTGCATTACAAGCTACACAATAGACTTAGTTGTCTGAAAAATAGTAACGAAGTACTTCACCCTTTAGTGTTCACAGCCTTCAGCAAATGCTTGCTTTTCTACATGGGTATCAATGAGTGACAACTGTTATATGAGGTTTGATCTTACGAACCAAGCAAGTGATACCACTGAAATACCACGAAATGAAGGTGGAACGGTTACAAACAAGGCTAACTGTACCTAATAGTCACCAAAATGGACCACTATGAGCTACGCAATCATGACAATACCTGTTTAATTTGCAATTTTTGGCTACCTCAAAAGGGAATGTAGTTTGACAGGACAGGTGATACACACTGGTAAAAAGCTCAAAATATACAGAAACCGTGCCATGAAGATTTCATCCATTATAAACCAAATTAGATTACTTCCTCTAGTCTAGGTAAGGAATTCATGAAATTCAATCAAATGTGAGAGCAGAACAGGATTGCAAAGATTAACAAAAATATTGTAAGCGAACCACATGAGAAATCAGCATCATTTAGGGGTGTTTAACCGTGGCAGTCATCACGAATCCCACACATTGAGGTAACCAATCAAATAGTTGGTCACCTTAGCCAAAAAGGAATTGCGTTAGGATTTCGCTCGTGATTCGTTCTTCTGGTTTAGTACTTTCTAGATGTTGGACTATTTATTATACCTAACTTGGGAATTTATTACAGCACTCATAAAGGAACAAGGATTTCTACATAGAGGAGCAGTTAACTAGCTTGTATGAGTCTCCTCAATAGTACTGGTTGCTTGATGTTATTTAGAAGGTAATGTTGAAACTGCCATGGTTAATCTTTGCCTAAGTAGTCATCAGAACATAGTTCGTTTTGGCGCCGACTCTCACCATATCCATAAGGAACACTGCCAATTATACGTGGGGTAATACAGTGGCTTCTCTTGTAATTTGCCTGAGTTGTCTCAAAACATTCGCACAGTATCATTTACTGAGACATGGTGATATAAAGAATTAAGCGTGATTACACTGATGTAATCACAGACATAATAAGCAAGTGTGAGAGTAGGATCAGCCTGGTGGATTAACCCATAAGTTTCATAACAACAGAAAACATGCTCATACCACTAATAATGCATTTCAGTTTCATTAACTCAAGCAATTAATGTGGACGCTGTGGAGCTATCATACTTCCAGTTGGGAGGGAGAACTCTTGTTCTTTTATAGTAACGGGCCAAACGCTGAATACGGCTTTCCACTAGTATCAGTCTGAATTTACTGTCCTTATCTTTGGCATTTCGTCCTAAGTGCTTGCGAATTGCAACAGCTTTTTTGACGAGTTGATATAGATCTTCCGGAATAGCTGGTGCCAAGCCTTTGCTCTTCAGGATACGCAATATTTTATTCCCGGCAAGCCATCTAACCTGAGCAACTCCAAAACTGTCACGCAATATAACACCTAGTCAGGTCTAGTAAAGTGAGGTTCAACTTACCGATTTGGGACGGAGACAAGCCTTTCTTGGCTAACTTGAAGACCTGCTCCTTGACCTCATCCGCAGTCATCTTTTGCCATGATGGGACAGATCGTCTATACGGCAACGCGCTTCGCGAAATACCTTTACCTCCACTGTGCATACGACCCATTTTCGACGAGTATCACGCTTTTACTGACCGACACCGCGCGACTAGGACCACACTGTAGTTAGTTTAAACAAAAATAGGGAAAGTCAATTGCTAGCACTGATTACAAAGGAAATGCTGTTTTCCATGGAAATGGTAGATAATTCACATACATAAGTGTGTAGTGCAACAAAATACAGTAAGCATGTGAAGTCCTAATAAATCTATACCGATTTTGCTACATGTCAGGAGGGGACACATTGTACATAGTTTCTGTTTAATTGATTTCCTTATCAACAACATATGACTTTGACATTCGAAATGAGATACAGATGTGCTGTCCATCACTTGAACCTCTAACTGGTTCCTGCTGCCCTCTTGTATTATCCGGAATTATAAAGGATATTTCATCCTCTTCCAAAAATTATTTTGTGGTTCTCAAAAGTCCTCAGTAATGCACACGCTCCTAGCGTTCGAGCAGACCTGTGTGTGATATTAACAGTTCCTAGCAGTGACCTGCGATTTCATTTCAAATAACAATTAACTTTTATGATTAGTTAACTATGTTCTTCTATGTGAGTCAGTGGCACGGTGGTGGAATGCTTCCCAGTCACCCATGAGATCCGGAAATGCATGCCCCACCGACGAATTCAAAGCTCACCAAGTTAGCTAGCTTGCTAGTTTCCTAGCCGGTCCCAAAGTCTGGGTGAAGAGCGAGGGATGGGAGTGGCGCTAGCTACCCTGTCCCGTAAAGTCTATCAAACTGCTACAGTAACTTCAACTCACAAGAAATATATTTGATTTCCAAAACATTAAAAGCAAACTTATCCTTCGTTGGAATCGAAGAGGCAAAATGAGATAGCCCGATGGTGAAAGCCTTAGGGGAGCCATCCAGACAAAAAGTCGATGAAAGCAAGTATAAGAATGGGGCATGTAATGTTCTTACACTGCACGACGCTAAGAAAACTGCTACCGTAGCCAACGAACAGAGAAGATATGGCCTAGAAGTGCTAGGTATCTGCGAGGGCAGATGGAATAGATATGGAATGTCGAATTTGTCAACTTGAGAGTCAGTAGCCTACAATGGCCACCCAGAGACGACAACCACGAGCACACTGATGCAGTTAGTGGCTATAATGCTGTCGCCAGAGGCAACCAATTTCCTCCCGCAGGATAACGATACCAAGATTCACCTCTTGAGCAAGGTCACGATTATCCAATGCCACGCACAAACTATAAACAACGCGAAGCAAGAGAAGCGGGGAAATTTTCGCAGACAACTACAAACAGTAATAAACAACTGACCAAATGGTGATATCCAAATCCTTATAGGCCATGTGAATGCCAGCTGAACTGCGAGCAGATAACACAGGAAGAGAACTCATTATAGGTTGAGACGCATTCGGAGAAATGAATGAGAACGGAGAATTATTCGCAGACTTTTTCTCTTTAGTTGACTTTTTGATCGGAGGCAGTGTGTACAAACACAGGGATATACTTAAAGCAACATGGATTTCGCCTGACAGAGACAACACAAACCAGATAGGCTTCGTCTCGATGCTCCTCAAAGAAGTGGAGACGCAGCCGGGCATAAAGTCGAGGAGGGTAGCAAATGTGGGCTCAGACCATCATCTAGTTCAAGGAACCCTCAAGGGGAAGCTGAAATCCTTCAGAACAACCGGAGATGGGCAGCAATCCAATTTTAAAGCTCAGAAACTGAAGCACGAAACTGCAAGGGATGTCTTCACTATAAATATCAGAACACAGTCGGAGACACTACGTGGCATCACGAGGAAAACCGTATGGGAGAATATTGCAACTCTCAGAAGATGACGTTCAGGGAAATGTGTACCTATGTTCTAAAGAGAAAAAAGAGACAGGGCAAAGAATGGCTCTCAACGGATACCTGGAGGCTAATCGAGGAGAAGAGAATGGTGACGACCCAATGGAAAGATGGGCAACAGAATAAGAGTCTGAGTTCAGTGTGCACTGTATTGAGTAAAGAAGTGAAGAAGAGTGCTAGAGAAGACAAACGACAGCTCTGCGACCCACTGGCCGGCAACTGAAGCAGAACATGCTGCAGCCAAACGAGACGTTAGAGCATAATGTTAGATAACCAGATCTTTATCCAGGAAGGAATCAACCCAGATAATGGAACCAATAAAAGATGTTCAAGGAAACCAAATTACCAAGGAGGAGAAACAAACCAAACAGTGAGCTGATCACTTTAAAGGACACTTGAATAGACCACCAGCGGCAACTTGCCCAGAAATATCACCAACAGCACATACGGATTTGCCACTGGAGACCAATCCTTCAACGAAAGCAGAAATCCTGAATGCAATTAAGCTACTGAAGCCCGGAAAGGCGGCAGAATCAGATGGCATCCCTCCCGAAGCTCTGAAGACTGTCCCAGAGATTACGCCAGATGTTCTCACTCCATTACTGAAAAAGGTTTGGAAAGAAGGAAAAGAGACTACTGATTGGAAGAAGGGCTACCTTGTCAATGTAGTCGAGGAACGAAAGGTCAGTTCATGGTTGTTTACTCAAAACCAACTCCATATTTTGGCGGGAGTCACCGATACTGCAGTCATCGTTCGACCGTTCGCTGTTCGTTGGAAGACGGAGGAACACTATCAGAAATACTATTGTGATTAACTATTATGACATTTATTCTTAAACTTTGTGTATAATGACCTTATGGTTGGTTCCATATTAGTGCGAGAATAAGGGATTCTCGGGTCACCAATGTGAGTTCTGGTTTTTCGCGTCGGTTATTGCACATTGCTGCTGAAAGTCTTCTAAGGACAGCGTTAAGTCCAGTGTAGTTAGACCTGGACATTGACATTCCTCGACAAACTGCCAAAGAAGGGATACTTGGGCCTGTGCAAGAACTGGCGCTAAATTATACTGTTGTCCACTCCAAGTAAAATACGAATTCGGATCAGCCTTGAAAGAATGAAAGATGCGCTGGACATAGAACTTCACCAGCTACACAGGAACAAGCTGACTGGATTCACGAATGGCGAATCATGTGCTGATCAAATTGCAACTCTACTAATCGTCATCACAGAACACGGCATAAAACGGTAGTCAAACCTCTGCCTCAACTTCATTGACCTCGAGAACGCCTTCAACAGACAGAATTGACCAAGAAGTAATTTGGGAAATGCTTCATCACTACGGCGTGCGGCGCCAAAGTCCTTATCAACCTCATTCAACGGCTATATGACAATGCCACTTATCAAGTGTTCCACAGCAGAAAACTCAGTGAGGCGTTAGAAGTGCGCACAGAAGTATGACACGGATGCCCGCCTTTTATTGACGATGATATTCTTAATTGTGTGGGACTGCATTACGTGCGAGGCTGCGGAAAGCGAGGAGAGGGGAGTATGCTGGTTTACCGATAAGAAGACTATACAATATCCGGATGATGATATCAGCCTAATGGCACACAACCTCGAAGACTTGTAGGTGAAAACCAACAAACTATCGGAAGAAGCAGTCAACAAACACGGAAATCAAGGTGAACATGAAAAAGAGGGAGGAGATGAAGACACCCACCATCAACAACCAACAGCAACAACAACCAGAACAAATCACCATCAACGGAAGAGACTTGAGAGAGGTTGCCCCCTCCACTTATCTGGGAAGCATCCTTCCAACTACACATGGAATGGATGAAAGTGTCAAAGCCAGTCACCCAGAATCCGAAAGGAAATATATACCTCCATCAACCTGAAACCAGCTTGAAAATATTAACCACTCACTCATCCACCACAAATAACAAGATTCGGATTCTGTTCAACACAAATGTGAAGTTGTCAATGTAGTTGAAGATTGAACGATCAATTCATGGTTGTTTGCTCAAATCCAACTTCCCCAATTTTCGCGGAGTCGTCAATCCATCAGTCATCGTCTCATCGGTCGCTGTTCGTTGGAAGGCAGAAAACTGTCAGAAGTACTATCGTGGTTTATTGTTATAACGTTTGTTCTTAGACCTTCCTCTGTAATAACAGTATTGTTGGTTATATGTTGGTGTCAATGTAGTTGAAGATTGAACGATCAATTCTTGGTTGTTTGCTCAAAATCAACTTCCCCAATTTTCGCGGAGGCATCAATACGACAGTCATCGTCTCATCGGTCGCTGTTCAGAAAGAAGAGTAAAATATCGTCAGAAACCTTAGTTCGTTTATTCCTTTTATATGTTGGTGTAACAATAAAGAAATAACAAGCAGCAGATCGGTGTTTTGGTTTTTGCGTCCGTTACAACTAAGCGTTTCTGAAACTCAAAGGAACAGCGTGGGCCCGAGCGTAGCGAGAGCTGGGCATTAACGGTTTATGAGACGAGACTGACAGTTTCTGACGATAGAAACAGATCTGGCGGATTCAAACAGTTGGTGAAAGTTTGGATAGTCGCCGTTCATTTTTCCTGGTGCCGGTCAAGTCCTCTTTGAACAAGCAATATCTGGAACGTTTTTGGAATTGGGTCAAGTTCAACAATGCCTGGGTCAAAGAAGGGACAGAGTGTCTTGGATGCAAACAGGAAAGTAAGTCATTGTGACTTGTCTGTTTATTGTAACGATGTGTCTGATGTTAGGCGTGACATGGTTGATGTTACTGTTTCGCCGTTCAGGGATGATAAGTACATCAAACTCCCTAAATTAGAACCACGGTGTTTTGATGGAAACCCGGCCGATTATTTACAATTTGTAAAGGAGTTTGAGATCATGTTGAGTGGTTTTTTATTAAATGATGAATTGAAGTTAATGTATTTGATGAGATATTGCACTGGAGATGCTTCAAGAGCTATACAGTGCTGTAGGTTTATGAAGCCAAAAGAGGGCTACTACGAGGCCATGAGCATATTACGTCAAAGGTTTGGAAGAACTTCGATGGTTGCAGGGAAGTTGTTCGAGGCTGTTAAGGGTAATGGTGGTCAACTACAGGATGACTCCAAGGCACTCACTGAGTTTTTAGATAATTTGTTAATTTACAAGAATGCAATGATTTCGATGAATCGC